GAGTGTGTTGAATGCAACTGCGTTTCACGTTTACACATTGATTGATCCTGGCATTGTGCTTGGGCGCTTTTGTAGTCTAACTGCGGTTAGTTTTCATCATGTCAACAATCAAGTCAAAGTAGAGCCCGCATCTAGTCTCTCTATCTCACTCTCTCCCTCCCCCTCTCTATCTATCTATCTATCTATCATTCTCTGCTCTGACTGCCTTTTGTGAAGGGTTGTACGCACTGTAAAGTCATTTAACTACCGACAGTTCACACTGTGCTAAATGTAGCGTGTGTTGAGCCTCAATAAAATAGCAGAGAAAAAAAAATGTGATACCAAAGTGAAATGCAATATCATAGATTACCTTTTAGCTGCTGCTGCTGCTGCTGGCATAGATAGTACTACGGTTCGGGGGTGGCTCTTGCTGTGCCGTTTGCGATAGCGACTCTAATGATCGAGCCCAACGATCCTGTCATGCTGTTCCAGCAATCGCTTGCACCAGATATTTTTGCGATTTCAGTGGAAATTTTCGTTTAATCTTGACAAAGTTGAACTCGCCCAAGATGATTAGCAAATGATCAGCGCTGCAGATTAGCGGATCAAAGTAAAGTCTGAGTAGATACAGATCAACTGAAACAAGCAGACGATGAAATGTCAGCTCTGTTCGATATCTTCTTTGAGAATATGTAGGGAATTTTTGTTCAGCTCTGCTTGATATCTTGTTCGAGAAGATGTTTTATATAGAAGAATACAGGGTTCCATCTGGTCAGCTGATCGTGCAATGAAGGCTTTGTGGTTGTCGATCGATAGCATTTATCTTGTATATATGCATTTATATTGTATATATTTCTTTCGTTATCATTTTGATTTTATTTGATTTTGATTTTATTTACGCTCGCTCAACTGATCGCGACTTGACCTGATCACTAAATTGAGTCAACTGTAAGAAAGTTTCTTGACATCTGAAATTATAAGCCTAGATTGTAGGGATTCGATTATATTGATGAACTGATCTTGTCTATGACTGCACTGAGTGGGAGATCGAGAAATATTTGATTGTCTTATGTATTGATACTCTCTAAGCTGATCCCAACTGGCAATTATCTTTAACTAATCTCATTTTAATTTGCTTAACTACTTCGATTTCTTTTCTCAATAAACTGATCTCAGCTTGAAATTAAATATTTTTTGATCTCAATTAGTTCAACAGTTCTGTTCTTCAAATATCTAAATACTTTAGAGTGTTGTTGGTACTTTAATGAGTTTTCTTGGTAGTCTTGACAAAACGATCGCCACGTCTAGAGCTGATCGCGGCTACAACTCAATTGGATTGGCCCAGGCTATGGCTCTGGCCTGAGACCAGTCTGGTAGCACTCGGCGTCGCCTTATTAACGAGCTACTAGGAAAGTGGACAACTGTCCGACTGGCACTTGACGCCTGCGCTAAGTGCGAAATCTGACAAGAATAAGTTCGAGTGGCCATTGATCGATGGCTACAATCGATGCTGGACTCTCGAGTTTGAACTGCTCTGGAAATGGAAATGGGCAAGAAAGGAGTCAGCGCGTGGAGCGCGCAACAAGCGCTCTCGTATTTTGACACATGGCTCATAAATCTTGTCCAGCGATGCGTTGCCCGTCATAAAGTCACATAACTCACATAACCCATGGAAGTCGACTCTACTCGTGCAAGCGGGCAGGACAAGTGTCCTTAAGGAGCTAAGACGGGGCTGCGCCCAGTTTTCCTTTGAATTGCGACACGATAAAATAACATGAGACTCAAATTTCCAACAATGCTAGCAATATGCATGCCCAGACAGACAGACAGACGTATGTATATGGATGATATGAATGTATGTAGAAAAACACAGGCGCATTATAAAAATAAATAAACGACAAGCACTTGAGGGCCGCGCAGGACAATGTCTATAGATGTACATGTGTGTGTGTGTGTGTATATGGGAGCCAAGGACTCGTGTGTCTGCGTCTCTGGATGCAAAACAAATACGCACTTCCTGCGACGTTCGAAACGGCGGACATGTCTCGATCTAAAGTGGCGCACAAAAGAAGTTACTTCCTGGCTAAAAGAAGCAGCAGCAGCAGCAAAAGAAGAAGAAGCAGAAGAGAGAGGGAAAACATTGAAGATGAAAAGGACCAGCTCAAATGAATTTATTGCAATTGCTGTCTGTCCGTCCGTCCATGTTCAGTTATTTGAGCATTGGCTAAGCTGAAATCGGAAATCTTAGCTAAAATTGCATAAAAACTCAAACGGAATGGACAGCGCGCACGTCAGCTCAGCCGGAGTCCTATTAAGGGACATTGGCTTAGTCTCGTATTTTGACACCTAGCAGCAAGTCCTTGTCCGAGCCGAGCCGAGCCGAGCCGGGCGCAGGTCTAAGCTTCCTCTCGATATGCGCTTAACAATGCACGGATTTCAGTCATCGCCCTCGCTCGTTTCCTGGTCGCATCTTAAGCTGACATACAATCATATTTCGCATTGTCCTTTTCTTATGATTTTTTTTTTTTTTTTGCATTGCTTTGCCTTTGCCTTTGCCCTTGCCTTGCCATATAGCTACCGTACGTACTGCTCGCGCATTCTCTAACTACCTAGCATTTGGCACTGCCTCCCTTTTTCGCTCGCTCTTCAGCAGCAGCAGCAGCAGCAGCTTCCTTCCTTCCTTCCGTCCTTTGTTGTGCAGCGTCTTTTGAGGCAAATTCTAGCTGAAAAAAAAAGAAAAAATCTGAAAAAATATTTAAGTTGGCTCGGCGTTTCCTTCGGTTTCCTGTCCTCTCGGCCCGCTGGCTGGGCGGGTCAGATATGCGGAGCAACACCCTACAGACGCTCCTCTCAGCCAGCAGCACTTCCTTTGATTCCTGCACGTGTCCGCTGTGGACACATTTGCATCAACTATATTTTGTGGGCGTGTCGCAATTTGCATTTCCCTAGATCGCATACCCAAACCCAGACACACACACACACACACACACACACACACGGCCCACCACCTGGGCATTTAACATAATTATTTCTCAATATTTGGAATGTCCTGCGTCTTGGCACACGCCTAGGAGCATGCAAGCTCATCCTTTACTCAATTTCATCGTCTGGCCTGGCAACGCGTCAATTATTTAGGGGTAGTCGAGGTGAGGCGCGGCGCGGCGCGGCGCAAGTTCTTACCCCGGAAGTGCATTTTATGCCATATGATTACGTCCAGCTTTTTCCTCGCTGGGGTGCGCCAGACACGTGAGTGCCTGCCTAGCAGCGCCTAGTTGCGTCGCTGTTGCGTTTGGTCCTGCTTCAGTCTCTCAGGCGTGACTGCCTATTTCCGCTGGCGGCCCAGTCGGGCAATTTATGCGCCATTAACAATGCCAAAGACCAAAAATTGTTAAAACTCGTTAAACAACACAACAACAACAACAACAACAACTACTACAGCAAAAGCAGACCGTATATTCGTATTATATATCAAGAAATGTATTTGCTGTTACTTCCGGTCGAGCATTTGATTAGTGCGCGTCATGAGTGGGTTGCCATGGTCGCCCTAGGCAAGCTCAGGCCGGCAGCCAGGAAGTGCCCAAAGTCCTGATGACTCATTATCCATAAAGCACATGTCGATCATTTCTATAGCGAATTCTTGCTGAAAAACATTTCATGAGCAATTCACCGGAGTCGCAAAGGGATGCTTAATGGAGATACCTTTAAAATATTTCCTATATGCATAAAAGAAATCACTGAAAATTGTATTACATTTCGGTATTACTTATTTACTTCATTTCTACATTTTCTAAATTTAATTAATAGAGTTAATTTGCTTTGTATTTGGCTCGCTTCTACTTTTGGATGTAATCTCTACTCTCTAAGAAGATTCTTCCATATAATAATTGTAAAATATTGCTTATGCAGTTACCCAGTATAGCTAGCTAGATGCATATCTTAGATATGTTTGAAGGACTCTTTGCAACCGTCCTTGAATCTAGAGCTCTTCACATCTATTTATGGAAGTTTATTTTTTCATCTATTGTAATACTTCAAGGCACTTGAATGTGTAGAACTTCCATAAATCATAATGTGGATAAGATAGTTGAACTATTCAAATATTCAATGAGCAATTTATTCATGCTTGAGTATTCTTAAATGTTTTGTGTAATCTCCTTAAACATATTTACTGTTAACTAAAGAGCTCGTTGAATAGTCAAAATGTAGTTTTCAATACTGGACTAGTTTCATATGCGGTCCATAGTCAATAGTCCATAGTCTTTGGTTACTATTTGAAAATATATTATGTTTTTTAAGGATTGACTGTATATATTTAAATAAAGAATTTTTTGAAGAATTAGCCTGTTCTCTGTCTCTTTCACTCTCTGCCTCTCTAGGTCTCTTTTTCGATATCTTTCCAGCTCTTAGCTCTTTCCACTCTATTGTTCTAACTTAGATCCTTAACTCTTATCGTGCTTGCCTTAATACATTTCAAATTTTATTACAGATATTTCTTAAATTTTAAATATATAAATATTCTTTTTTTTTGGAAAAATTATTTATATATTTATTTGTAATTCACACACACTCTCTCTCTCTCTCGCTCTCTGCTTCTTTTGCTCTCTCACCCTTTTGCTTTTCATTCTTAATCAAGAACATTTGCTGAAATATTTAAGAAATTGTTGTTTTTTTTTTTTTCAATAAGAAAATGTTTGAGTTTGTTTTTTAAATTGATTTTGTTTTAATTCTTTGTTATTATTGCATTTCAATAATAATAATAATATAATAATAATAATAATACTTAGTAGCTAGTTTAGTGTCTTCCATGCTTATAACAAAAACTTAGATTATGAAAAAAAAGTATTTAGCCTAGAATTTTTAAATCATTGTCTTCCAAAAAAAAAAGGTGGGGCTTACGACTAAGAAACTTCTAGAATCTGGGACTTGATTGGTTTTTGTTTTCCATTTGTTTTCACTAAGGCAACAGTTGTTTGTTTTGTTTTTTTTTTTACACTTTGTACAGCATCCTGATGAATGTTTTGTTTTTGGCTTGACTGGATCTTGATTGCTCCTATATCTCACTCACTGTTCCTGCCACGAGGAGATATAGTCGAGCAGCTCCTCATCGTCGGGCTGTTCATCGCTGAAGCTGTCGAACGATTCGAATTTGAATTGATGCTGCAACTGTTGCTGCTGTTGCTGTTGTTGCTGCTGCTGCTGTTGGTCCTGATCGGGCAGCTCCTGCTTCACATAGCTGGCCGATAGATCGGAGGCATCGCTGTAGGAGTGCGTGGGCGAGCTGCTCGAGTGATACGAGTGTCCGGCGTACTGCATGCCCTGCGGTCCCGGCGAGCTGCTGCTGTCGAGACTATCGTAGCTGCCATCATTGCTGATGTCGTCGTTGAGGCTGCTGCTGCTGAAGAGCTGATGCCGCGGCTGTCCATCGTCGAGCATGTCCTGCAGGCCACGGATGTATTCGACGGCAATGCGCAACGTATCCACCTTGGAGAGTTTCTTGCTGGCGCCGCGTCCCCCGTTCGACAGCGTGTTGATCACGGTCTGTGGCAAATGCTGGCGCAAATTGACAAATCCGTTGTTCACCTGCTTGACACGATTGCGCTCCCTGGCATTGCGACGTGCCACCGATGGCATCTGCTGCTCGCCACCGGCTCCTACGCCGTATGGCAGATGGCCAAAGGTTTGATACTTCTTCTTAGAGAGCATCGGGCCGAGTGTTGTTTGCTGTTGCATATTCTGCAGTTGGCTGTTGCCCAGCGGCTGTGGCTTGGGTGCAATCAGCTGATGTTGGTGCTGCTGCTGCTGCTGTTGTTGTTGTTGTTGCTGCTGCTGTAGCTGTTGCTGCAACTGTTGTTGCTGCTGTTGCAATTGCTGCAACATAATGTTGCCAGTGCTCAGCTGGAAGTGCGAATAGCTGCTGCAGACGGTCGTCATGTTTATCCTGAACTGTATGCGAATGCTGGAGTTGAGCTGAGTTGTTGACTGTGTGGAATCAAATTCCGCAATGATAAACCTCGTCCTGCACGCTCGCCCTTAAGTAGCTGCCGGCGGCAGCGCTGTCGACTGCGCGACGACTGCGCGAACATGAACTGATCTCTGAGGCTACCTGCCCGAGGGCACAGGCACACACACACACACACACACACAGTCAGAGCCAGCGAGCACAAGTGATCATGCCTGCTCTCTCGGCCTGCCCTTAGCTTGTCCTATCTCGCTCTCTCGCTCTCTCTCGCTCAATCAATAGGGGTTGCGACTGTAGGGGTTGCTCTTACACCCGTGTGGGTGCTAACTCACTCTCCCTCTGCCTCTCGCTCTCGCTCTCGCTCTCGCTCCCGCTCTGTCTCTCGCTCAGCCCATTCAACTTGTCTGCTTTTGTGTGCGTGTGTGTGTGTGTGTCACAATTCCCTTTTTTCTTTTGGGAAAAACTGCATCGAAATCGAGACTTAAATCTTATGCACAATGATCCTAACTGCTGATCCTTGTCACAGAGTACACACAAGAGAAGAAATATATGTATGTAAGAAATGAGAAAGAAGCGAACTCGCTTTTCAATGCACTTCCACTTTTTTTTTTTTTTGTCAGGCTAAAAGAAATAAATAAGAAAATTTACTGCGCACTATGCGCCGGCTCGCTCTCTCTCATACAGACGCCCTCTCTCTCACTCTTTCTATCTGTGTCGCGATGTGATCCATCATGTGTGCGCCACTGGCTGGCACTTTCGCTGCCTGGCTAGAGAGTTGGGAGCAGGCACTCGGTGATCTGTTTAGGCTGTTGGCCTTGGACAGCAGACGGGGGCAACTGTTCTTTAGCATTAAGCATTTGCCGCATTGCCGCATTTGACACGTGCTTCCGATTCGAGGCTGATTAACATAAAGTTACAACAACAACAACAACAGCAACAACAACAACGGTAACTACAACAAATCCCACAAGTGTTTGCCCTCTCATGCATATCAAGTGCGAAAGGGGCGTCTGCCCTTGGCTGCATTTGCAACTCATTTGCTTAAAGCTTTGTCACGAAGCTGCAACTTGACGTGCTTGACAGTCGGACAGCCGGACAGCCGGGCAGCCGGACAGCCACGTAAGCCACGACACTGTCTGAGATGTGGACAACGCTTGTTGTTGAATTTGCAATACTCTATATAAGACAGTGGGAGCATATGGCAAGGGCATATAGGCTGGACTAAACTATGTGAGGTCAGTCACTGGCCTAATTAGAACTGATATGTTCTGATGTTCTGATATGATATGTGCCATGGATATATGCATGTGAAACAGTTGATATATTTATTCCCTTTTAGCGTAACTTTAGATTCTTCATATTCGTAGGATAGCTATAAACCTTTTAGATCTTTACCTAGCTCACTAAACTTCGGAAGTATATAGATAGTATATAGAAGTATATATTGAAGTATATAGAACTATAAAAAATCTATTACTTTCATCTTATAACCTCACTAAATTTACATATTGAGAAATTTATAATTCTTAAAATTTTTAAACATTGTAATCTTAGTGGTACGAAATTGAAATTCAATTAAAAAATTTATTTGTATGCAAAGTATACAGGTCATAGACCACTCTAATCTCAAAGAACTCAGAAACTAGCTCTACTAGTTTCTAGAGCTAGAGCAAATTGGTAAGATATTCTCATTGATCATAATTTTGAATAATTATAAGCGATGCACCTAGATAGTAAGTTTCCAATATTCCCATACTTTTAGAGATTCTCATTGATCATAATTTTGAATAATAATAACCTATGCACCTAACCTATGCTTGTGATAGATAGTAAGTTTCCAATTTTCCCATACTTTTACTTATAAGGTTTAGTGAAACCTTTATGTTTATTTTAGCTTATTTATAAAGCTCTGGATCTTAAGGTATAGTTGCTATATATTATATTGGACTGAATTGAGCTGACAGATATTTGCTGAAGATACATATGTATTCTATTACTATTCTTATTAATATTTTGTTTAATCTTTAGTGTTTCGATTACGACTTTTTATAAAATTTTATATTTACAAGTTCATTTTGAGATTGAATATATTTTTATTATTTTATATATTTATATTTTTATTTCAAAGTATAATTATTACGTTTATATATGTAAAAATTAGTTATCAAGCTAATGTTTATACTAATCCATGAATATGAACACTAGATTGTTTATTATATACCTAGTTTAACAAAATTTCAGACGCAGTCTAAGCTTGCCTACCTGACTCAGTCTTTATTAAGAACCATGGAACTATGAGAGCATATAAGAGATATAAGCTATTTTTGCTATAAGAACTTTCTTATATTTAAGAGCCCATTGCATAAGTAATAATCTATAGCATAGTTCATAACCGATCCATTAACAAAAATCGTTAGCAAAATCCATTCATACATAAGTATGATATATATGATATGATATACAAACGATATATGTAATATATGATATATATACGATCAAATAACTATAACCGTGACCGTAACATTGTGTATACCCGATAGTAAAGTTTTTCATTCAATATGCCGCTTTGCCTCATCTTACAGAGTATCTTTGCAGTTGGATTTCACAGTTTGTTCGAGTTGATTCTTGATTCTCGGGCCTCTGGTCATGCTTAAGCTCTTGGCGCTAGCCAGAGACGTGGCCACGTGCGTCTCGCTGGCTATTTATACGCCCGCAACAAGTGAAGTGAAGCCCCCCCGTCATAAAGCACACTCATAAATTTGTTATGGGCAGCAACAATGTTGCCGATCGACGAGGATCAGAATCAGGCCCAGTAGGGCCACGGCTACAGCTTCGTCAGTTTAGGTTGATTTTCAAATACCGTTACAGTTGTTGCAACCGCACTCGCAGGGGTAACAAGATTGCGCCCCCCCAATAAATGCATAAATGTGAATAACAACGTTGATTAACCTTAAGCAGGCAGCTGCCTCAACGAATGCAATTTGTTTCAAGGGTTTTTTTTTTCAGGTTCAGCGGGTCTCGGCCGCTTCAGCGTTCGCTCTGCGCGGTTTGTTTAATCGTTTTTTAAAAGCTGCCATCGATTCGATTTTGTTTCTTCTTCTTCGTGCTGCTGTTTTGTTCTCCATTAATGCATTTCTAATATACTGCAGAGGCAAATGCTTTGCGTCATCGCCTACACGCCCAGCGAGCATAGCATTCTCTCCCAAAATTGTATATGAAAATCCATTTTCAACTCTTTTATTTTCCATTTTCCACAACACACCCACAAAAACTGATGTTTTGGTAGCATTTTAATTAGCTTCTGCATTTCGATTACATCATTTATGTTCTTTTTTGATTAATTAAAGTGCATGTAATGCCTAAGGGTTGTGTGAACGAGAACAGGTAGCTCTCGGGTTCCTTTAGGTATGCCAGGAGTCAACAGGATCAATTGCCAGGGTTGTCAGGCTGATCCATTTCGACTGCCAGCTGGCGGCATCTATGACACATTCCCATTTCGGTTGCATTCCAATTGGATGTAATGGGAGTCGCTGGTATTTGCTGCAGCGCCCTCTAGCGTTTGATTTGGCCAGCAATTGGAATGTTGTAAATCCAATTGGTGGCTGGTTGGGAGAAATGTGTGGAAGGGCTATGAGAAGGTAAGAGAAATTTGAGTAAGTGAATTATTTTTGTTTAAATAAAGCTTAAGGGAAGTATGAGGATAGGGATATAGAAGGTATAAGAAAAGATTTTCGCCATACTTTTAATATAATTCAAGGACATATACATACTTATGCATATATGAAGAGCAGCTCCTTTAAGTTACATTATATTTTAAGAAATTTCAAGATTCTAAATCAAAATATGTTAAAATTGTATTATTTTTCTTCATTTCACAGTCCTCAATCTCAGCATCAAGTCCTAGTTCATTCCTAAAATTTTCCATTTAAACTTCAATATTTTTTAATTCAAGTCTTAGGTATTTAATTTTTATGATATAAACCAAAATATTAGTTTAATTTTTGTATATTTTTTTTTTCGGGTATTCCAGATTGTATCATGTATGTTTGAGTAGTTTCTAGATTCTAGATCAAAAGATGTATTAGTTTTCTTCATTTCACAGTCCTCATTCTGGTACTGATAATCTATCCTAGGTGATTCCTTTTTTCTTCAATTCGAACTTTAATATTTTTTATATAAAATATATACAGATTTTTTTCTCTAATTTTTAGGCATTTAATTTGTATGATATATATCAAAATATTAGTTTAATATTACATATTTTGCTTTTAGAATATGTACTTAACTTGATTGATTTGTTATCGACAGCCTTGTTTAACTTCGATTTTTACAGCTGCCTTTCATTCGTATTTTCCCTCTTGCCTTCTGAGAACTCTGGCAAGCGCCTTTACATCTGTTCCGAGTCACTTTTACTTACTGCACGTAGAACGGAAGCACACGTTATGTGTCAACACTTTCGCTTCTGTAGGCGCTCTGGCGAGCTATCGTAGCTATCTAACGATATCGATATGACAATTAATTACGCACTTTATGTGACAGTTCAGTTCATTAAGGCTAATTGAGATTCCGTACAGCAGCCACGGACGGAGCCCAACTCTAAGAAACCGCTGGCAGCACGTACGCATCGAACAAGTGCAAGACGTGATGGAGTAGGTCAGCATATTTACAGACATTTACAGTTTGACATGATTTTGTTCTCTGATCTTGGTTTCAGTTTCGGTTTCGATGTTGGTCAATTCGCATGATAACGATATCATGAGCGTGAAATCTGTCGCCCCTTGGATACCCATTCAAACAGGTATTGAGTGGGTATTATAGACTGCGACAAATAATGCGTATGGAAAGATGGTAGGAGTATGGAATGGATGGGATATAGGATGTATTTTATAAGTAGTATCTTCTATATATGTATATACATACATACATATATAAAAGGCCTTACCCTATTAGATCTAGCCCCTAGAGGCATGATGTATGCATACATATATACCATAGATACTCCACATACATTTAGATAAGATATATTCTTATATCCTATACTTACTAAATATATATTCGTAACATCATTTTGATATTTTCAGCACTTCTCGAGATCTAGAAAGGACAGAGATACCATACTTTTGTCATATAATTGTTTATCGATTAAGCTGATTGAAAATAATTTCTTTTCTGCATATAGAATATAACTATAGCTATAAAAATGCAGATCTTTGCGATAATATAAGCTTACTGAATGGAATTTGTCAATATCGATCATTTGATCGATATACATACTATCGATAACTAATCAACTACAGGGTAGCTACCAGTTCAGCACGACTTTCTAACCATATGTAGGGTGTTAAGGGTGTTTCTGGC